TGAATGCACGTTGCGATATTATGGAAGTAATAAATATAAAAAGAAAACAATTTCTTAGCAGCACACAACCATTTAACAAATATTTAATTAATTTAAAAGTAATGAAACATTGACCTGTTGATCAGTTATCAGTCCGGATGATGTCACGCTGAGACCGGGCTGTGACATTAAAGCAGTACACAAAGGGAATTCGACTCTATTCGAGAGATCGGTAGATGAACTAGCCGAGGCTTTCATTTTCGTTTGCAGGGGCCGTTCTGAGTTATATTTCAGTTTAGCGACGTCTTAATTGAGCAATAAACTAGACACTAGAATTTTGTAAAAAAAAGTTGTAAAATACTTAAAGTTCACGCGTGTGGGAACGTTTTTGATAGCCATACACTAGGGAGTGGACAAACCACCCACACCACCATCATTGAGTTGAGCACTGGACTGGGGACCCGCTACGTAGAAACAATGACTAACCAATAAATCAACGAAGCCTCGGTTAGTTAATCCGCCTAGCCGTTGACAACCCTCACAAACGCAACCAGACTACGATTTACGAATATGTATCTGGAATGTCCAGACCCTCCATCCGGCTCCTCGGATAGATTAGACTCTGTGCAATAAAAAATATGCTTGTCGGTTAATTGCCCTTTATTATGTGATCAGATAGTGTTAGACATTTGCAGGTTTTTTAAATTGTTTTTGATACATTCAACTTAATCGGGCACATATAACCTTTTGCGAGTTTTACGCTGCTGTGACCACAACAAATTTTAAATGACCATTTCTTGGCCATTAAAATGAGTGGAGCTAATGCCATAATAGCAAGCGGTCGACCTTTTGTGCCCAATGGTTGCCAACATTTTCAATGCATGCCTTAGCCTTTGTCACATTCCTAGAGAATGGACCAAGGCTGGGGTAATCTTCATATCGAAGGGTGGAAGAGTCTCTCACGTCAAATCCAATGACTTCAGGCCAATGTCCTTACATCTTAAACCTATAGAAAAATTGAAAAGCACTCAGCTTCAAGGAATTTACCTTAGGTTTATTTCTTGACATAGAGGACACCTTTAACAATATTCTTCCAGATGCCGTTGTGGGGAAATCTTTCAGGTAGGATTGGAGCGGCCTCTGGTCGAAATTAGAAGACTTCTTCTTGAGAAGAGAACTATCTCATCAGAGTTAAGGGGCGCGTCCTTAGCAAGACATCCAATGAAAGGTAAACTCAATTCTCCTGATACTGCAGAATACCGGCTGCCACGTTGTAGCGTATGCCGACGACATTGCACTCACAAGAACGGGAAAACATCTCCAAGCGCTAAGCAAACATCCGTCTTTTCAGCGCAGTGGTTGCCGAAAGCGGAAGTATCTTAAAGGAGCTCGCCGCGAAAGCCACCATTAACGTGGTATGGGTACCCGGCCACAGTGTCATACCGCGAAACTGATGGAAAGGCATAAGAGCTCGTAAATAGTGGCTTTGGGACAAATTGGTTTAGGCGTGCCTATCTGCCGGATTGTGCAGAGAGAGTGGCAAGCGCTATAACTTAACCTAACTTTATCCTCATTATGAGCCCAAAAAGAGTCAGAAAAGAGCATATTTTTCTTTTTGGAAGGGCACGCCATTATGACATCTTTCTGTGTCTTAATAACAAATATTATTTATAATTTTGATTATTAATTAACATACACCTCTACCTGAACTTTATTGCTATTGTTCAATTCAGAATCTGGTGCACTAAAAGAGTTCGAAATAAGTCAGTCTCGTTGACTGGTCTTAGAATCACAGTTATGGCGAAAGAAAGTCTCATTTTAGACTCATAAATTCTGAGCACTCAGAAAATTGTTTATTGGGGTGAGGCGCCAATGCAGTTATTTGTATGGATGAAATTGATGACGTAGAAAAATATTTAATAGGCTGCTCTTCGATTTTTGATATATTGAAAATTTAATCACATAATGTGATTTCGATTTAATGCAAATGGCCGAAATTAATTTTTTTTGCCATGGAAAGGAAATATATAACTTCACGGCGGTAACAATTTGTATGGCTTAAGGAAGCTTCTAAAAGACATGAACAAAAGCGCAAATCAACATAATTTACGTACGTATAACTTTTTTTTATTCGGCCACAAAGCCACGTGGGCTAGAAATTAGTATAAGGGTAGTGAATATCAACCTCAAGCTGCACATAATTACATTTGTAATTGAATGAAAAATTAATCAAAACCACGTATGCATTCATTATTCTTGAAATAATAAGTGTGAGCATAAAGATACTTATTAAATACGAATAAGATCAGTCTCTACTTATTTGTCAAGTTATTATCTTGAGCCAAACATAACCTTGAATAACCACAAATCAATCACAACAATAAGTGATGATGGAGGGCGTTTTGTCATGCATTATTGCACTTAAATTAAAAACAGTCGAGTATTATGAGTACATACTTATTAAATATTGATTATATTGCTTAGAAGTACCGTTATAAATGTAATTCTGGCTGCGACTACCTGTCAAGCACGCCCAACAAATTTCTTAATGTATTACTCAATCGCCTATTTGTATTAAAAACGCCTGGACTTTCACAAATATTTCCCATATTGCTTTGCAATTGCTTTAATTAAATTTACCCCACAGGAAAAAAATGTTCCTAAAATTTATCAATAAATTTATATTTTCTGTGGGTGAATGCCTAACGAAGCCACAGGGTGTTCCTTAGTTCCTTAGTTTGAGAGATGGGCAAGTGCACAGCAAAAACTAACTTTCCTATTGGGTTTCTCATCGATTCGCTTAAGGTTTGCGGGGGCATTAAATAAATGCGGGTAATGTGTTGTAATTGTACACAGCAACATGTATTTACGTTTCTATAATCTATTAGCCAAAATACGGTTTAACAGGCTTCATGTTTTTACAAAAGGTGTAATCAAAATTATTCGTACCAGTGTTGTATTCTATAATTAACTGGTACATTAATATTTAATTAAATTAATATGTCAGCGGAAAATTTGTGTACTTTCTCATTGAGAAGCTTAATATTTTGTGTGTAGGGCGCGCACGGGCGGCAAAACAACGCCCTTAAATAACAATTATGAATGTAGAACATACATAATGTATATGTATGGCGCCACCGAATGGCGGATGCTTTTTAGGAGAAGATTTTTTATGGCATAAATACATACATACATACATAACCGGACAACTCTATAGGCAAAGAAAAGTTCCCCATACATCTTCTTACAGGGCGATTTCGAACAAGAATTTTTTATGGCTGACCGTAGAACCAGGCTTTTACATTTTTCGGCAACACCTACATTCAGCAGTACACATTTTTTTTTTAAATAGTTCTACTGGAATAATCGAAATAACTCCTTAGGCACGTAAGATTTCCACATAATCTTTTTTATTTGTGTTTAAATACTCCGAAGCCTTCCCATCAGATTAGCTCTTTGTCACTTCTCTTTTTCAAAAACATACCTAACATATATACATATATTTATGTTTGTGCTCAAGCAATAGTTTTATTTAATTAAAATTTCATTTTATTCGAATTTTACTTATTATTTGTACTACGCTACATTACTTAAATTTAACATATTTTTTAATTTTGTTACTTTTTTAATTTAATTTAATTTAATTAATTTTTCGTTACTTTATGCTATTTTGTTTAATTTTATTTTATTTTGCTTAAATTTATTTTATATTTTATTTATTTATAGCTGTTAGGAAAGTTTGTAAAACCTAAAACTAACAGAGGGGATAGCTTTGGCTACTGCGGCCTTATGCTATTTATTTTATATTATTTTACTTAATTTTACTTCATTTGCCTTGATTTGATTTAATTTTATTTGATTTTATATGATTTGATTTGATTTGATTTTAATTGAATTTATTTTGTTTTATTTTATTTGATTTTTATTTTAGTTTGTTCTATTTTTTTATTTTTTATTTTATTTTATTTTGTTTTATTTTATTTTATTTTATTTTAT